GTATATGTATACGTATATGTGTATATCTATAAATATACATACACGTGATTATGGACTTGTTTTTGTGTTTTGGTGAGGGTGCGGGGTTAGTTTGTGTTGACTTTTGCTTTTGGCATCATTGTTATTTTTCATTTGTTGTTTTTTTTTTTTTTTTTTTGGGGGGGGGGGGGGGGGGTTCTTGGGTTTGGGGCATGAGGGTTTTTTGGATGAAGGGTTTGTGGTTAGGCTTTGGGGGCAGCCATAACAGCATGGACACAGAGATCATACTAGGGTTGAGAGTTGAGGGTTGAGGTCTTGCGGGCCGACCATAAATCCTAAACTCTATGCCCTAAACCCTAAACCCTAAAGCCCTACCTAAACCCTAAACATGAATGAGCATGAGGCGTTTTCACATCTCGTCGACTAGCCCAGCAATCAACCCAAGACCCTAAAATCCTAAAGCCCTAAACCCTGAACCCTAAACCCTCAGCCCTCAGCCCTAAACCCTCAACCTAAGCCCTCACCCCTAAACCCTCAACCCTAAATCCTCAACCCCTACACCCTCAACCCTAAATCCTCAACCCTTAAACCCTCAACCCTAAACCCGAACCCCTAAACCCTAAACCCAACTCTCCCCCGTTGACTTGGGTTGATGCGGTTCAGGCCACCGAGCCGGAGGTCGTCCTGCCTTTGCTGCGCCACTTGGGAGAGATCTCAGGCCCGAACCTTGGGATGTTCCCCTTACAGGATTCTAGTACCCCTATTGTAATCCCCTGTTAGTGGAAGGGGGAACATCCCAACCTGAACCCTAAACCCCCAAACCCTAGATTCTGGGGATGCTCGGGGTTAGGGTTGAGGGTGTGGGGTTTGGGGTTTAGGGTTTAGGGTTTAGGGTCGAGGGGCCGTCTGAGGCCCTAAACTAGACATGAAAACTCTGAGACCTGACTACCCGAAGCATCTCCAGGGTTTAAGGTTCAGGGCTTTGCTCGGAGCGGTCTCTGATAGGGTTTAGGGTTTGGGGTTTAGGGTTTAGGGTTCAGGGTTTAGGGCTGAGGGTTTCCCTGTTAAGGTGCGCAAGACAGGGCCATCCTCATCGGTGACCACAAGCAGGCTCAGGGCTCAGGGTTTGACAATAGGGCGAATAGGGTCAGGGCTTAGGGTTTAGGGTTCTAAACCCTAAACCCTAAACCCTAAACCCTAAACCCCAAACCCTAAACCCTAAACCCTGAACCCTGAACCCTAAACCCTACACCCTAAAAACCCTAAACCCTAAACCTTAAACCCTAAACCCTAAAACCTAAACCCTAAACCCTAAACCCTAAACCCTAAACCCTAAACCCTAAACCCTAAACCCGAAACCCCACCTGAACCTTGAACCCCCCAAAGCAATCTCAAGCCGACTGCGCTGGGCAGTTGGGCCCGGTGGTCACCGAGCACAACCTCTGCAAGGCCTACCTCGTCATGCTGGAGAGGCTTGTGCCGGTTTAGGGTTGAGGGTTTAGTGTTGAGGGTTTAGGGTTTAAGGGGTTTAGGGCTTCCAGGATTTCAGGGCTTTGCTGTTTCCTAAGCCATTAAACCCTACACCCTAAGCCCGCGAAGGGCTCTTAGGGTTCTTGGGGTTTGGGGGTTTCCCCAAGCCCTAAGCCCACGAAGGGTTCTTAGGGTTTAGGGTTTTTAGGGTTTGGGGTTTCAGGGTTCAGGGTTTAGAGCTAACCTTACGAACTCTGGCCCGAAAACCCTAAACTTCCAACCCCAAACCCTAAGCCCCAACATCCTAACTAGATCCTCAACCCCGACACCCCTCAACCCCTGGGAGGCCGATCCTGGAGAGGCTCGCCAACCGCCGGCCCGACCGCGACACAGGCGCGGAGGGTTTAGAGTCTCGGGTTTTGGGTTTAGGGTTCAGGGTTTAGGGTTCAGGGTTCAAGGTTCAGGGTCTAGGGTTCGGGGTTCAAGGTTTGTGGTTTGGGGTCCAAGGGTTCGGGTTCAGGGTAGAGGTTTGGGGTTCAGGGGGATGGCGCGGGGCTAGTTCGGGGTCTCAGGGATTTGTTCGACGGGCAAGGAGCTTAGAGCTTAGGGTTTGCCTGCAGGGTTTGCAGGGTTTTGCGCAGGGCTTTTCGGGGTTCAGGGAACCCCTGCAGACCCTTGGCTCCTAAAACTCGAAGCCCCTGCACCCCCAACTTCTGCTCCAATAGAGCTAGCAGTCATTCTCAAGTGGATAGAATCTTAGATGAGGAAGATGGCAGAATGTAACAACATATAGCACGACGTAACGCAATCAACAGCATATTCTAAACCAGCTTAATGAGACAGTTTGAGTATAGTAGTAGAGGATAATTCAGCAAGCTCCAGATGACCCAAGTTCTATCATGCTCCGTCTATTTCAGGGCCCCTGTCAGTCAAAGCTACTCAGGACCCACGCGCAGCTTCGCATCGACGATGCTCGAGAAGCAGTACCGCATGCACGACACTATCTGCTCCTTCCCGCCCCCTGGCAAGAAACCTTCGGGTTCAGGGTTTAGGGCTCAGGGGTTTTAGGCTTCTCGAGGTTTCCAAAAGAGTAGGGTATACTTCTTTTGGGGGGCCCTGAGAACTCTTGATGGGATGATCCGTTATTTGGAGATATAAGGGGTGCCCGTGGAGATCAAAGGTCCAAGCACTTCTACGACAACCGCCTCCAGAATGCACAGGGCTTGTCTCTGAAACCGCCTGTGCCGAGCGTGTGGCCGAGCAAGACAGACCGAGTTGTCTGGTACGATTGCTCCCACCCGCATCGTCTTGGCAGCGTGATCAGCGTAGGCAACGCCCGCTCACTCAACACGACAGTACTGGAGAACAACACCTCGTTGGAGAACGAGGGCGAGGCAGACATCATCATCAAGGCCCAATGTTCGAAACATCTCATGTTGCGAGGTCCCTTCCAGCGAGATCGATCGCAGTAGCTTTGCCTTGCCCTGCCGCTGAACCCTAAACCCTAAACCCTAAACCCTAAATCCTAAACCCTAAACCCTAAACCCTAAACCCTAAAATTTTGCCAAGCCCTGGGAAGGTGTACTGGAAGTTGATGGAGAGCGGCCACTGCCGGGCCGAGGACGTCGCCATCGTCACGCCCTACAAGGCACAGGAGCAGCACATCCAGCGGAGGCTGAAGGAGCCGAAGGGGGGGGGGGGGACCTGGAGGTCTCGCCCACCCTCGGGTTTAGGGTTTGGGGTTTAGGGTTTAGGGTTAGGGGTTCAGGCCAGGGATGCCTTCTTCCCTAAGCCCCAAAACCCCTCAAACACAAGTTCGCCCTTCTTTACCGGAGGAGCTCCCGGGCAGCCTGGGCAAGTCTGCTGGCATGACTGCTGTGGGGACGGTCTTCAGCATGCAAGGCCCCGTGCTTTCCTGGGGCTGAGTGTGAGCTCATTGAGTTGAACACGCCTTAGGGAATTTAGGTAATTTAGGGAACTTAGGGAATGTCGGGAATGTGGGGAGTTTGGGGAATGTAGGGAGCGTCGGGAATGTAGGGAATGTAGGGAACGTAGGGAATGTAGAGAATGTACAACTTTAGGATTTCGGCAAATCTGATGGCTTGGTTGGGGGGGGGGGGGCACAAGGGGGAAGAGCTCGAAGAGTCTTGGGGTTTGCCCTCCGACTCTGCAGGCGGCCTGAATCCCCCAGCCCCAACCCTAAACCCAAAACCCAAAACCTTTCAGTGGGGTCTCGGGCTTAGGCGTCAGGTTGGATTCGTAGATTCCTCGCTCCTCAGCTTTCTGCTGGTGTTTTGCCAAGGCTCGGAGCGCCACTACATCCTCTTGAGCTTCGTGCGAAGCACGGCGGAAGGCGGGTTGAAGTTGATTGCGCGTGTGGAGTTTTGGGGTTCAGGATGGCTTAGGGGCTCAGGATAGGGTTTCGGGTTTAGGGTTTAGGGTTTAGGGTTTAGGGTTTCGGGTTTAGGCTCTAGGGTCTAGGGTTTAGGGTTTAGGGTTTCGGGTTTAGGCTTTAGGGTGAAGGGATGCCAGCTCCCAGCTCCCGCCTCTGCAGGATGGGCGCTCAGCCACCTCTCCATGCAAGGCTCCGCCAACGAGCTGCGCGTGTCCGTGTCCCAGCAGAACCCGGGCCTTCGGCAGACCTTCGAGAGCCACATCGGAATTGCCGGAAAGGCCCCGACCCTCAGCCCCTCCGAGCCCTAAACCCAACGCGCCTTGCGAATCGGTTTAGGGTTTGGGGTTTAGGGTGTAGGGTTTAGGGTTTGGGGTTTACCCTAAGCCCTAAAGGTGTCCCAGCCAGGAACTCCCGAAGCCCCAAAGCTAAACGGGGAGGCGACGCTGCTCAACGTCGCGCTGACCCGAGCGCGCCTCGCATGCACAGCGCGGGTGGGGGGGGAGGGGGCGGGGTTTTGGGTTTAGGGCTCAGGGTTTAGGGTTTAGGTTTAGGATTTAGGGTGTGGGGTGCAGGGAGGTTGGTTTTTGTATGCTCTTTCAAGGCCACGATCTAGGGTAGTTTAGGGTCCTTAACTCCATATCCCTTCCTTCATCGTATCTCAGAGTTATGTTAGAAAAAGCCTGGTGTTCTTACCATATTGTACGAGATCCTGAAAATAGTTATAAGGCACCCCACCCCCTACTCCCTCTATTGCCCTCACAAGGAAGAATCTTTTTTTGTCTTGGGGGGGTTGTTGAGGAGCTGGTAGTTCCGTAGCCTAGGGTTTAGGGTTTAGGGTTTGGGGTTTGGGGTTTGGGGTTTGGGGTCCATACAGAGCCGAGGAAAAGCGGGCTTGTCATCGTGGCGAACCGCACCATCTTGAGCGAGGGCTCCGAGGACTTCTACCAATTCTCGCCACCCAAAACCCAAAACCCAAAACCCTAAACCCTAAACCCTAAACCCTAAACCCCAAAACCCTAAATCCCTAAACCCTAAACCCTAAACCCCAAACCCAAGACCCGAAGCCCGAACCCTGAACCCTAAACCCGAGGACTTCTACCAACTCGCCACCGATTTGGAGACCCGGGGATGCTTCGTCCCCGAGGATTGCTGTTGATTTTCAACTTGGACCGGGGGCTTTTTTCAGAGGCCCCCTTGCTAGGGGAGCCCTCAAAAGGTTTAGGGCTTAGGGCTTAGGGCTTAGGGTTTAGGGGTGAAGGTTCAGGATTTAAGCTTTAGGGTTTAGGGTTGTACTGGTGCCTGGTGTAGTTCTGCCCCTGCTATTGCCGAACGGTGTTCCGGGTCCCCCTTGCAAGGTCTGGGTCCTTCCCAAGCGCCCCCCCGTGTTAGATAAGGGGCACAAGTAGATGCAGGCGGAGGGGTGCAGTGGTTTGGAGTTCACCACGAAACGTGGCGCCGCCACTGCGCCGGCCTCGTCTGACGCAGACCCTGTACAGATCCGCTTCATTGCACCGAAAAGTTGTCGCCAGACGGCTCCGAATACTAGAAGGGTCGGATTAATTACTACTAGTATTCCCTTCTGTCCCCTTTCTAACTATACCCTCATAACCCCCAAAACCCTGTTCGAATTGTTCAGGCCCCTGTAGTAGATTGGAGCACTTGGATGCAGAACTGCTCCCATAATGCTGGCCTTGAACATTTGTCCTATTTCCATGAGAGCCCTGTCTCGTTCGGATTTGGCTCTCAGCGGCGACTTGAATCCATATTGGTTGATGCAGAGGAGGGAACGCAGGCAGGAGGGGGCGGGGGGCATGTTGCCCTGGACCGCGTTGTGTTTCTTGCAGCGGTTCAGGCTGTCCATGAGTTGGAGTTCTCCGCTTGGGGGGTAGCTCTACATCAACGTCCACTTATAGACACCTCTCAGAAGAGGATTCCTCATCGACAGGTTCCAAGAAAGAAGCCCAATATAAAGAGCTGCGAAGACCAGTTCGCAGGATACCCTAAACCCTAAACCCTAAAACCCTAAAACCCTAAAACCCTAAACCCTAAACCCAAAACCCTAAACCCTACTAAACCCTAAACCCTCAACCTATTGCGTGAAGTTCTTGGACAGGTGACCTTCGATCACGCCGTCGTCGCAGCCATGTCCAAAGCCAAGGGTGCTTGGTGTGCGTGCAGCAGCGGCTTGTGAACGTTGTGAGCACCCTAAACCCTAAACCCTAAACCCTAAGCCCTAAACCCTAAACCCTAAACCCTAAACCCTTAAACTTTCATCATCCCTCTGAAGTCTTGTCTGGGTTTCATGCATGGGACTTGTGTCGTGTGCGCCCCTTTGCTCGCTCGTGCCAAGGTCAGAGATGTGCAGCCGGCCTGCTTGTCCGCGGTTTAGGTTTAGGGTTTAGGGTTTAGGGTTTTGGGGTTTAAGGGTTTAGGGTTTAGGGTTAGGGGTGTAGGGTTTAGGGTTTAGGGTTTAGGGTTTAGGGTTTAGGGTTTAGGGTTTAGGGTTCAGGTCAAATGCACCACGTGCTCTCAGTCGCGACATGATCCTGCCCTAGACCGGCTTTGGCAGGCCCAGTGCCGTACCTCAGTCACTAGCCGAACTAAGCCTAAACCCTAAACCCCAAACCCCAAACCCTAAACCCTAAACCCTAAACCCTCACTAGATCAAGCATCTCAGTTTCCGCAGTACCAGATGGATTCATGGGTGATTTTACAAGCCCTGAGCTCTGGAGCCCTAGAAGGGCGTAGCTCCCCCCCGAACCTGCCAGGTCGATCCGAGATCAGAACGTCTTCATGGCGCGTCTTGCCGAGCAGGCTGCAAAAGGGGTTTAGGGTTGAGGGTTCAGGGTTTAAGGTTCAGGGTTCAGGGTTAGGGTTAAAGGGTTACATGGTTTTGGGGTTAGGGTTCCGAGGCACCCGAAACCACACCCCAAACCAGAACCACCCAAAGCCCTAGAAGCCCAAACCCTCCCAAGCCCTAAGCTCTAACTCTTCTGCTCGGCACCCTAACTACGAAACCTAAACCCTAAACCATAAATCCTAAACCCTAAACCCAAAACCCTGAACCCTGAACCCTGAACCCTAAATCCTGAATCCCTGAACCCCGGACCCCAGAAGCCCAAAGATTGAACACTAGGCAGAGCGCCACGAGGACATGGCCCGGAGCACAGGAAGTTCGGGTTCAGGGTTTAGGGTTTAGGGTTTAGGGTTTAGGGTTTAGGGTTTAGGGTTTAGGGTTTAGGGTTTAGGGTTTAGGGGCAAGGGCTCAGGTGGTACGGTATTTAGGGATTTTGGGTTGTTAAAGCCCTCAGCCCGAAACTTTAGAAGCTGAACCCTAAAACCTAGACAATAAACCGAAACCTAAACCCTAAACTCTGAACCCTGAACCCTAAACCCTAAACCCTAAACCCTAAACCCTATACGTACGTTCAGGACTTGGGTTCTTTGGAGTTCAGCCTTGCAGGCCTTGGGTTCAGGGCACGGCAGAAGGCCGGACGTGTAGGCCTCGCGATGGCAGATGGGAGGGGTTCAGGGGTTCGGGGATGAGGGTTTCGGGTTTAGGGTTCAGGGTTTAGGGTTTAGGGTTTCGGGTTTAGGGTTTAGGGCTCAGGGTTTAGGGATTAGGTTTAGGGCTAAGGCTTATCCTCATCTCAACAGGCTTTCGGATTTATCAGGTGGATGGCTATCCCTGGAATACCTGATTTCGAGAGGGTCCTCAAACCCACCCCAAGAATTATGACATTTTTATTTTAATTTTTTCTAAAATTATGGGGCCTGATACTTAGGGTGCTGGGGCAGGGGGTGATTTAGGCAACTGTCCATTCAGAGCCCGAAGCTCAGCTTTGTTGAGGGCTCCTTGGTCCTCCTCTTGTTGAAAGCCCGCTGTTCGCAGCTGGGGTTTAGGGCTGCAGGATGTAGCACCCTAGGGGCCCCCACAACCGCTTTGACCCCAAAACGCCCCGAAACCGAAGGCTCCTAAGCCCGACCCAGCCCTAACCCCCCTAAACCCTCCACCCCATGCAGGCCGAGCCGAGCACCACCCACTCAAACCCCCCGACACGAGGTCGAATTCATGAGGCGGGTGGCCACCGTACCCCAGGAGCTGAGTTAGGGCCCCGCCGCAGGGTTCGGGGTGCGGGTAGGGTTTAGGGGTTTAGGAGGGTTTGGGGGGGGGTTAAGGGTTCAGGGCTCAGCAATTTTTAGGGGTGGGGGTTCAGTTTGTTGGGTTTCGGGTTGGGGGGGGGGGATTCTTGAAGGTCTCGGAGGTTAGGTGATTTTGTTCAGGTGTCGCAGATGTTCGCATCTAGTTCCCTCTTTTTCCCTACCTGCGGACTGGCTCCGGCAGCCTTTGGTCCATTGGGGCGTTTCTCGCGAGAATGGTTCCCTTGTTTGGGGGTTCGATTTGGGGGTTTACGATATTAGGGGTACCTTGTTTGGGTCCGGGGATCCTACTATTTGGGGGGTTTATTTTAGGGTCCCTTATCATGGTAAATCTCCGTTTAGTACTGTTTAGTAGAGGCTATAGTGAGATCCTTACCGTGCAGTAGAGACTATAGTGTATCTGGGGAGTATGTCTATGGGACCGAATCCGGAGAAGGACTTGCCTACTTGGAGGTTCATGGTACTTCTTAGCCAATTATAACTGCACTTATAACCCGCTCATAAGCCCCCTAAGTGCCCTATATGGCTATAAGTACAGTTTTAAGTACAGTTATAATTGGTTAATAAGTACCATGGACCTCCAAGTACTGTGGAGCTTTACACCCTCACAATTTGCCGCGAAAGCCTTGATGGCCTACCAAGGCACACGAAGTCAGAAGGAGTGGGAACACCCTAAACCCTAAACCCTAAACCCTAAACCCTAAACCCTAAACCCTAAACCCTAAACCCTAAACCCTGAACCCTGAACCCTAAACCCTAAACCCTAAACCCTAAACCCTAAACCCTAAACCCTAAACCCCAACCCTAAACCTAAACCGACATGTTCACCCTAAATTTAGTGGAAGCCCCACATGTTCGCCCCCTCTCAGGCCTTGAAGAGCGGAACCTGCTGTCGGTTGCCTACAAGCAGTCGGTTGGTGCTCGTAGGCTGGTGACCTGGAAAGGGCCCTAAGCCTAAACCCTAAACCCTAAACCCTAAATCCCTAAACCCTAAATCCTAAAACCGGAACCCAAAATTTTGTCAAACTGCAGCCCGCAAACCCCGAACCGCCAAACTTGCACCTCGAAACCCTGCAGCCCGAAAGGGCGGAAGGCTTCGACCCGATCCCTACAAGACTCCCCTGGCCTTTGCCCTCAGCCCCAAACCTTCAGGTTTAGGGTTTCGGGTGAATCTTCAGCGCTTGGTGCCTGGGTTTAGGGTTTCGGGTTTAGGGTTTAGTTTAGGGTTAGGGTTTAGGGTTTAGGCCATTTAAGCTGCCCTTTCGGGATCGGCTGATGTTCAAATGGCGGGCCCCAAGAAGGCCGCCTCCTGAACCGTTTAAGCCCCTACATTTGGGGGTCGGAGTAATTACTAATCGTATTCCCTTAGGGTCCCCCTTTGTCATTATACTATAATACCACCAAAAACCCTATCCTCATGCTTCCGGCCCCTATATTACATTTGGGCCCCCACATGCCCTAAATCCCCGCTTCCAAGCCCTGCAGGGTTGCTTGCGTTGACAGCCTTGGGATCCGGGGTTTAGGGTTTAGGGTTTAGGGTTTAGGGTTTAGAGAGGGTTTAGGTTTCAGGGATTTAGGTTTTAGGCTTCGATGCCGAATGTTCCAAGCTCGCAAGAACCACCAGAACCCACATGGCCTGACGCCCCAAGCTTCGCCCTAGAGCCCTAAACTTTAAGCCCCAAACTCTCAACCCTGAGCCCTAAAATCCTAAATCCCACAAGTTTGGGGCCCCGAACCCTCAGCTGGCTTTGACCCGACTTTTCTGGCTGTCAGGAGGCCTTGGTACATTGGGGAGGGTTGAGGGTTTTAGGGTCTGGGGTTTCAGTGTTTCAGGGTTTTAGTGTTTCAGCGGTTCTCAGATCGGTTCGCACGAGCCTGCGGCCCCCCAGTCCCAAGCCCTGGCAACCCTGAGTTTAGGGCGTCGGGCGTTCTTTAATTTCAAGCCCCAAAGTCCGAAAGCCCCTTCAGCCCTCTCAAGCAACCCAAACCCCCTTA